ATACCATGCACTGCTGTAGATCGTCTCTCTCGAGCAGAACCGAGTCAATTCTGATCATTTGTCCGTGTCCGTGCAGGCGTAAATGTCCGGGGGGTGGCCTGCATGCGCAAAAGACCCACATGTACTACATACCATGTCAATGGACAAACCTTTGACAACCTGGCTCTCGTAAATCTAGCCCTGGACAGCTCTATACATTTGAGTAGTTGATACTAACATGAATCATTCTTCAAATCGGTTCACGTTTAGTGGATAGCCCAAGATCCGCTTCTCCAAGACTGCCTCGGAGTTAACGCTGGTATGCTCCGGGCCTTCGATTTTGTACCGTTACTTGATAAGATGGATCTAACTACAGATTCAGATAGATTAAGTTTTCAATAACGGATAAAGTACTCGGGAATGCCCTTTTCGTTTGCCCAATCCCCATTTTCAGTTTTCATTCTGGAATGATCTACTCCGTACCAAGGTCGTCTCAAGATATATATTAGAGATCACGAATTTCTGCCTCGTTACTATACAAAAGTTTCCACTATTGCAGCTACATCCTTCCCAAATAGTCATCAAATGGGAACAAGAGAGCTTCAAATCTCATTCCAGTCAAATTAACAGGCATGTCCGGAATCTTCAATGGCTATCCCTGGTTACACATCAAAAAGTCATCTATAAGGTTAAGGTATGTTGTCCCGTCGCCGAGTGATAAGCCCGGCAAGCCTACTTCATGTTATTATTCCCACTCATATGACACTTCTATAGCTATCATGTACGTATCCTTCTAGCTAGCCAATATATGAAACCCCGAAAAGACATAAATGATCCTCTTATCGTCAATGCCTCAGGCAACTATCAGCTCCAGCCCGCGGCTTATTAAGCCATCTCCAAATTACTCAAATCTTTCCCCTCCATGAGAATCCATCTTGCGAGCTTCTTTTTGGACAACTGAGTGGTTTGGTTGGGATATATTTCTTGATCGCTTTCTCTAAACCTCAGCTGTCTAGCCAAAATGCCCCCGCGCAAGAGGCCACAGCCCTCTGCGGCCAGTCGACCGCGACGTCCTTCAGAGGTAACAAAACTTTTTTTCCGTCGCAACTTCTGATGGCTATACTGACTCCCCTGCTACTTGACCAGGCCGGAAGCCACTCGGCGACTGACTCTACGAAAAGCAAGCGTCCGTCCGTGTCCAACCCTGTTCCTGAGCCTCACCAACATCCCGTGCCCGGAAAGGTTGAACCAGCTTCGGATTTCAAGGCTAGAGATCCATTCGATGCACTTTTGGAACCGTTTTACTACAATAAAGGGCTCACAGACCCTATCGATACGGCCAGGGACAAATGGAACCTGCTACCGGCATTCCTCAAGGTCAAAGGGCTGGTGAAGCAGCACCTTGACTCCTACAACTACTTCGTGGAGGTGCAAATGAAGAAAATTGTCGAGTCAAGCTCCACGATTCGAAGTGATGTGGACCACAACTTCTACATCAAGTTTACTGATATCTACGTTGCCTCCCCTCGACGAGCCGACGAGCAAGGCGATGGTGGAATTGATTTCGAGTCCACGATCACGCCGCAAGAGTGTAGGCTACGAGACACTACATACGCTGCACCCATTCTCGTTGACTTTGAGTATGTCCGTGGCCGGCAAAGGGTTATCCGACGAGCAGTCCCCATCGGAAGAATTCCGATCATGCTCCGCAGTTCTAAATGTGTGCTGTCGAATAAAACGCCTGCTCAAATAAGCGTCCTCAATGAATGTCCTCTTGACCCCGGTGGTTACTTCGTCGTGAACGGAACAGAAAAGGTCATTCTTGTACAAGAACAATTGAGTAAAAACAGAATTATTGTGGAAACCGACCCAAAAAAAGATATCGTCCAGGCCTCGGTTACCAGGTATGTCCCATGTTGGACCTTTCTTAATTTGCTATCCCTAACATCCACAGTTCCTCAAACGAGCGTAAGTCTAAGAGTTACATCGTCTCGAAAAAAGGCAGACTCTACGTCAAGCACAACGTACTCAATGAAGACATCCCAATCGTCATTTTGCTCAAGGCCATGGGCATCCACACCGACAAGGAAATGATGCAAATGGTTACTGGTGACGATAGTCTGTATCAAGATGATTTTGCTATAAATTTCGAAGAGGCAATCAACGTCGATGTTTACACTCAGCAACAAGCCCTCGAGTGGATCGGATGTCGCATCAAGATCAACCGCAAACAAGCCGCTTATCGCAAGACTCACGTTCAAGAGGCAGTTGAGGCCATTGCATCTGTTATTATTTCTCATATTGAGGTCAAAGACATGAACTTCCGACCCAAGGCTATCTACGTTGCTCACATGGCTCGTCGCGTTCTGATGGCAAAGAGTGACCCAGCCCTAGTGGATGACCGTGATTATCTTGGAAACAAACGACTGGAGCTGGCGGGTCAGATGTTGGCCCTTCTTTTTGAAGATTTGTTCAAGAAATTTTGTTTCGATATCAAGATGAACATCGACAAAGTCCTGAACAAACGCAATCGGGCCGAGCAGTTCGATGCCTGGACTATCGTGACTATGCATGGAAATCATATTACTCAGGGTATGAACCGAGCCATCTCCACAGGAAACTGGAGCTTGAAGCGTTTCCGCATGGAGCGTGCCGGTGTCACTCACGTTCTCAGCCGATTGAGTTACATTGCAGCTCTCGGTATGATGACCCGTATTAGCAGTCAGTTCGAAAAGACCCGTAAGGTCAGTGGTCCTCGTGCCTTGCAACCGTCCCAGTTCGGAATGTTGTGCCCTGCAGATACCCCCGAAGGTGAGGCATGTGGTTTGGTCAAGAACTTGGCCCTCATGACGCATATCACAACCAACGATGAAGAAGGACCGGTGCGAAACTTGATATTCATGCTCGGCGTCGAAGACATATCGAGTGTTGGTGGACAGCAGCTCTATGCTCGGGGTGCTTACACAATTTCTATCAACGGTACACCGACTGGTCTGACCAGACGCCCCAAGTCCTTCCTCAATGCTTTCCGAAGACTGCGCCGCATGGGCCGGGTTTCGGAATTTGTCAGCATTTACATCAATCACCATCAGCGAGCCGTCCATGTCGCCACTGATGATGGACGTATTTGCAGACCTCTCATTGTTGTGGAGAATGGCAAATCTCTTGTCAGTGTTCAGCATCTCGAGAAGCTGCGAGATGGAGAAATGGAGTTCGACGACTTCCTCGCGCAAGGGCTCGTTGAATACCTCGACGTGAACGAGGAGAACGACTCCTACATCGCCATCTACGAGAAGGACATCTCAAATACTCACACCCATCTTGAGATTGAACCCTTCACAGTCCTTGGAGCTGTTGCCGGCTTGATCCCTTATCCTCACCACAACCAGTCCCCACGTAATACCTACCAATGTGCCATGGGTAAGCAAGCCATTGGCGCTATTGCTTCCAATCAATTCCAGCGAATTGATTCCATTCTTTACCTCATGGTCTACCCACAAAAGCCCATGGTTAAATCACGAACCATTGAGCTGACAAAATACGACCAACTACCTGCGGGGCAGAATGCGACTGTTGCCGTGATGAGTTATTCTGGCTACGATATTGAGGATGCTCTGGTCTTGAACAAGGGATCAGTGGACCGTGGCTTTGGACGTTGCCAGGTCTTCCGCAAGTACGTCACGACGCTGAAGAGTTACCCCAACGGAGCCAAGGATTCCCTCAAAGGACCGACATACGAGAATGGTGTTCCAATCCGCAAGCACGCGCTTCTCGAGTCTGATGGTCTGGCTGCAGTTGGCGAAATGGTCAATAACGGCGAAAGCTATATAAATAAGGTCACGCCTAGGGTACAAAATTCGTTGGGATTCCCCGGCTCCGACATTGGCGGCGGAGATGTTATCGAGGCACCCATGAACTACAAGCTGCCAGATCCTTCCTACATAGACAAGGTCATGTTATCTGCCACTGAAGGCGAGACGCAACTCATCAAGGTCCTGACCCGACAAACCCGTCGCCCTGAGGTCGGCGACAAGTTCTCTTCCCGCCACGGACAGAAGGGTGTTGTTGGAATTATTGCAGACCAGGCGGACATGCCATTTTCGGACCAAGGCATCAACCCTGACATTATCATGAACCCTCACGGTTTCCCCTCTCGAATGACAGTCGGAAAGATGCTGGAGCTTGTCGCCGGTAAAGCAGGTGTTTTGTCCGGCCAACACGGCTACGGTACCTGTTTCGGCGGCAGTCCCGTCGAAGAAATGTCCCAAATTCTGATCGACAAAGGCTTTAGCTATGGTGGCAAGGACTACCTCACTTCCGGTATCACCGGTGAGGCTCTGCCTTTCTACGTCTTCACCGGTCCCATCTATTACCAGAAACTGAAGCACATGGTTCAAGACAAGATGCACGCACGTGCCAAGGGCCCCACTGCTACTCTCACTCGCCAGCCTACCGAGGGTCGTTCGCGTAATGGAGGTTTGCGTCTCGGTGAGATGGAACGTGATTGTTTGATTGCGTACGGTACTAGTCAGCTGCTGCTGGAGCGCCTCATGATCTCGTCCGATCGCCACGAGGTGGATGTCTGTGAAAAGTGTGGTTTCATGGGCTACTTGAACTGGTGTCCTGGGTGCAAGTCGTCTCGTTCCGTTGTGAAGATGGTCATCCCATATGCTGCCAAACTTCTCATTCAAGAACTTATGAGTATGAACGTTACGGCTCGCCTGAAGCTTGATGATGAGTTCCCTGAGATGAAGGGACGTTGAGCCCTGGATATAGCTTTGGGTTGATTGGAGTTTGGGATAATCAAAATGGGACATGTGCATACTTGGTCTTACGAATGAATGGCATAGCGCGGCGATTTAATATCATCTTTACCTAATTATTCTTTTGAGTAGCACGTAGCTGCAGCTACCACATCACCTTCGAGCAACAGAAACAACTCGGCAGTGGCCCTCGAAAAAATCAAATTTTATTATAAAAAGAAAGAAAAAGAAATCGGAGGAAAAGAAGAAAAGAAAACATTAGAGCATCAGAACATTTGACTCAAAAGCCACATGCTGATAGCGAGTAAACTGCTCGAGCTCGTCCAACACGTTGACTCTCGTTTCCAAAGCCTCGTCCAGATTCATAGGCATATCTCCCTTGTTTTTTCTATTATCAAGCGCCAGATCTTTCAAACCTTCCTTGACATCTGCCCCAGCCGGAAATTCCTTAGTCCAATCCACACGCTGCGGCGGGATATTGGCCGTGGAGATGATACGCATATTAGGATCGACAAGGAAAAACACCACGGCGCGCGTCCGCCCGGGCTTAGTCTTGTCCTTCAATTCGAAGTTCGTGAATCTGTGTTCTACATTGCTCGGGTACATGACCACTCGACCTACGTTGGCGCAGATCGAGCCTGGGTATTGGATGGCCGGCTCGCCGTTTTCCAAACCGTAGACTTGTTTCAGCCAGATAAAGTCGTTTGGCTCGTGCTCGATTTCTGTGAGCGTGTCGGACTCTGCCATGTTGCGGAATTGCATGGACGGGTCCTTTATGTTGTCGTGCTCGTATGGTACGAATGCTGCGGCGCAGATGTGCTCGTTCTGGTTTATCGTTGTGTTATTATCAAGCACTGTTTGGTTATCGAAGCTTTTGAACTCACCATCGAGCCCTCGACGTGCCAGTCTGTCTTGAAAGTCGGATTCTCCGGAGTTAGATCAATGCCCAACACACGTGTGATCACCTGCAGTCCATGGTCCTTGTAGTCCCGGTTGATATCGACACCGCGTTCAATCCGAACGGGACTGGGCAGGTCCTCGGGCAATTTGTCCATCAACCAGGGTGGTACTGCCCAGGGAATGAACTTGCCTGCGTCGGGTTGGATGGCACGGCAGTTCTGCATTCTCCACTTCTCCATGCGCTCGTCAAACTCACTCTGCGCCTCTTTTGGTTGAATCGTAGGTGCCTGGGCAGCTATTTCCGCTGGGACTGGGTAATATTCCGCCTTGTGGTACTCCATTCGGGCACGGGAATGGAGCATGTCCTTGAGGGGAGTCAAAGTTGCGTTCCACTGCGGAACGAGACAATTGAAAATCCGCTCGAAGAGATTGTAGAGGCCCCGGTGTTTTATTGGATGCAGATTGTTGATGTATGTGGCTATGTGCCATTGTCCATCATCACCGAGTGACCAGTCTGAAGGGAGAAGCTGGTATTTCCGGCTGTAGGGCCGAACCTTGATGTCTGCCCGGGCCAAGACGCGCCAGGCAATGTCTTCTCTAGTTATTCCGGTATCTTTTGGAATTGGGATCACTTCACCCTTGCCGGCAAACTTGAGGCAGTCCTCGACCCCAATAACCCTGTCGGTAAGAATACGGGAGCTGCCGTAAATGAGCGGATACAATGCCATGGAAATGAGGTCACGCTGTTGGCTTAGATGTCCTGGATGGTAGTACTTCATTTCTTCCAAATCGTACTCTAGGACCTCGAACTGGGATTGCATTTCACTATAGAGTGAATCAGGCAGATTTGTGTCGGACTTGGTGACATCGCCGTTGTAAAGGGCGACTACATCTGTGGTCTCGTAGATCATGGCTTTGAATTGAAGCTCGTCAATAATCCATTCAACCATGTTGAGCGTAAGGTCTTTGCCACTGTTTAAGGCCGCCTTCTTCCACTCCTCTTGTGTGGCGGGATCAAAGATCTAAAACCATTTCAGCGAAATCATCAGTATCGGTTGTATTGAGAACGACTAACCTTTTTCCACCACTCATGAATATCGGTCAGTTGCTCCATGAACTCTACCATATGCATCTCGCGGAGGGTCAAGACGGGTAGGCTATGATGATGGGTTTCAGCATTGAGCCCCTCTCGGGTCTTGGGGATTCTACACTTACTCCACGTATCCTGCTTGGATATCTCTATCATCCAGCGCAGATGGAAACATACTCCGACTCTCGATACCATAGATGTTTTTCTCCGTCGGAGCAAAGTCTAGCGGCCTGTTGAATCCCGGAAGAGCGAAACGGGTGTCTTTCTCCGCCATGGTGTTGAGGTAGCTCGGCTGGTGGGATTGGTGTTGGAACATCGTGGCGTTTAGTCAATAATAATATACCGAATAAAGTCTCCAAGATTGATATGATAATGAGATGACCTATTTTGCTCGGTCAGAGTAAGACAGGGCCAACGAAGGAAACCAAAACCCAGTTTAACGAGGTCTATTGTGAAATGGCCTGCACAATATCAGACAAGCACCAAGATAAGTGAAATAAGATGATTGAGATGGGAAAATACTTGAACAGATCAAGCCGGGAGCAGTGGAACGAGGGCCGAAATAATGATGCATGGCTGTCGTCGTCTTTGATTCTGGGGTATATTGCAATGGTTGATGTCCTTGAGACGGAAGTTGCGGAAATTGGCTCCGGGCCTTTCAGCACGTTGGCTCTAACAAATCAGCCTGGATGATGTTTAGATATCAGTCATAGTGATTTAACCCCAATGACCATGGAATTGCGAAACTTTGCTGCATGGTTAAATCAGAAGTCAATTGACATTCAAAGGTTTGGAAGGAAATCCCTGGATATATATTCATTGGCAGAAGACTTGGTGAAGGAGAAAAAAAAAAACAGTTATACATGGAGGCAAGCAGATGTATATATTTGTCGCACAGTACCGTGTCTATCATGTAACGTTCCAGTCTTCCTTAAGCCAAAGCAAAACCGAAAGGCAAAGGAATGCTCATCACACCGACACCAAAGCTCCCAAGTACTCTCGAACAATGCCCCAATACCGATCAGGCTCAGTTCTCATATGTCCAACATGAGGGGAGTTCTTGAACACTTCACGGCGCACCACCCAACCCTCAGCCTCGGCATTTACCGCATGGGATTCCACATCGCGCCAGTCCACTAAATCATCCGTATCTGAGTATATATAGCAACGACTGAGAGTTCCGTCCGAGTTAGCCGCTCGTACCAAAGAGGTATCATTGATGAGCTCCCGGGCAAGGGATATAGGATCCGGAAACATAGAAAACGAATGGATCAACTTGAAGAGAACCAAGAAAGCAAAAATAAAGCCTTTGCCAAGCAGTCGCAAGATCCACATCTGCGGAAGCGCAAAGGAGAAAGCCTTGAGTCCTGCTCGTAGGCTCGGACTGCCCGGTGCGCTATCAAGGATCATTGCCGATATGGGCAATGGGGTCCCTGTCGCATTCTTCCAGGCTTGCAATAGGTGTGTTGTGCTCGACATGCCCCCATTTGAGAACAAGTGCACAAATACTGGATTCTCAGGTGTCACTAGACCGCGCATTGCTTCCACGGCTGGGGTGACGCGGGCTCTCCGGGTCTGGGCCCTTAGACGCCAGATGAAGTCACTTGATGAGCTTCTGACGAAGATAATTCGCGCTGATGGTACTAGCCCTCTGTACTCGACCACATACTTTGCTAAAGCGCGCGGGGGTGCATTCATCCAAAAAGCAATGAATATCACTGGCCTATCCGCCTTCTCGCTCGGGTTGGGCGGGTCTTGGAGATAGACTGACGGGGCTAGTCTGATGAATGCCCCCAAATTGGTTTCAGGTATTGTGGCCATGATGCAACCCCCAATATCTGGTGTGAGATCAATAGTGTGGTCCAGTTTCAGGCCTGTGCACGGCGATCCTCGGCTTGCCAAGAGCTATGCGCGCTAGCCGAACTAAACGTGCCGTTTCTGACCAGGACCATAACTTACCTGCAGTTCAATTCACATGCAGAGATATATAGGAGGCATGCTTGATCGTTCCGAAGCATCCCAACCCTTGAGTGTTGTAAGAGTCCTCGATATCCGCTACATATGAATACCACTGATTGTAAAACAAAGACCAGAAAGCGGAGAAGGGGACTGCCTACGAGAAATATGAAAATAGTGGGGTTTATTGCAAGGCCTTTTGTGTATTCAAGTGAAGGTAAAAAAACTCCCCCAACGCCATGTTGAACCTTGCTATGCCCTTGAAGGAAATCTCGCTGCGGAATCTAGAGACTTCCACTATCTAAAAGCCCAGGGGAATCGTGAAAGTGTAGGTTTAAATAGGTTGTTGCAGACATTAGTGCTTTCCCAAAGTTCGACCCCCACCGTCGGACTTTTTAGTGTTTTCCTTGCTCTTTTGGCCCTCAGTTTCACTCCCCGAGGGGGTGGCAGAGTCGGACAGATCCTTTCGCTTCCCACGCAAAGTTTTTCCAATTCCTTGGAACTTAGGCTGGTCATCTGGGACAACCAAACCATTCTCATCACGGGGTTTGACGGGTTTGATTGCATACCCGAAGAAGAGTTGATTGGGCGGGAGTCGAAGTGGTTGCGGGCCGTTGATTCTTCGGGTTGGAAGCGGATGTGAGGAACTTGAAGCACCTGGAGTAGGAGTAGAAGGGTTAGGGGTCGGAGCCTTGCTGCCCTTTTTAGCGTTCAGGCGCTGTCCTCCAGACAAAAAGTTGGATGATGCCGCACGGGCACCTGTGGCAGCAGAGGTGGCCTCGGGGGCAATGGCGGAGTAGTTGATTGATTGTGCCATGGTGCCATGGGGGTGTAAAAGTCCACCAGCTGGAAGCTTCCCACCGCTAATGACGCTACCGGGTGTGCTGGTCCCGCTAGTTCGCTGTGGTTCTTCGAATCCAACCGGAGCGGCGAAATCAACCTCCAAGTCGGTCTCTAGAACGGACACAGCATTCTTAGTCCCAGAAGGTTTTGTCTCCAGCACTGCCATCTCATATACTTGATCATTGTATGAAAAAGTGAAGACGTCGCCTTTGGAAAGGCATGAGAAATTCCGAAAGGCGTTTTCTAGCACAGCTTTCGGGTCACTAATATCGAGGAAGGAGATCGACTGTGCTTGGAGTTTGATGAACTGGCCAGGAGGGAGGTCTGTCGATTTGATTTGAAGAAGATCGCCAGGTTCCAGTAGTAATGTTTGCATCAGCTGTAGCGAACCGAGTCTTAGTACAGTTACAACACGTTGACGAGTCTGTCTTACTCACCCAGAATGGCAAATATATTTTTCCCTCTTCAGCAATAAACTCAAGGACACCTGCATGCGTCATCCTCTCTTTCGCACCATTATGAAGCTCGAATAACATCGGATAAGTAATGTGAAGTCGGGTAAGCTTGTCCAATGCGCTGGGAGGCATGATGACCTTGCCACCGTGGTTCACATTCTCTCTTTCAGGACCAGGAAGCATCGCCACTGGGTAGCAGCGATAGTATTCATCGAAGCGACGGGACGTGGCGCCCGGGCGCGCCATACCGGCACCTAGGATTCCATCCATGGGGTCATCCGACCAGTAACCAGGTCGGTACTAAAGCTGTTAGTTAGTAAGGTGAAGATCGGGGGAGTCTGAGTTGACTCACCATGTCAAATTAATGTGGTTTTAAAGACTGAAGATGGACAAAGAGAAAAGTGTGAGACGGGTTGATTTGAGGTACAATATGCCGCTCTTTGGATCGCCATCGGTGACGCAGCTCGCTCCGCCATGATTTTCCGGTCCGACCCCGGACAAGGAAACCAGCTCTCTTAGAGGTGATTTACCCTTCCAATTTGCTATCTTTCTCGTTTGTTTTCAACCGAAATCGCCCCAAAAGCGCCATGTCCAGTTCATTGCCACGCCCCAAGCGCGCAGGCGAAGATTTCGCCAATACCCACTACAATGACGACGGCGAGGATTCCTCAGAGCACAAGAAGCCCCGCTTCGACCTTCGCAATCCCTCAGCTCTTGCAGCTGATGCGCCCGAAGAAGACGCAGTACTGGACGCTGATGAGATTGGCAGACGTGGCCAAAGAATAAGACGCAAGGCGGTCAATCTCGAGGGTTATGATTCCGACAGCGAGAACGAGGGGTTTTCTGCGCGCAGAGAAGAGAAACCCATACGCAAACAAGCCAAGGAAGATGCGGAAGATGATGATATGTTCGCCGAGCTACAAGAGGACTTCGGCGAAGAGGAAGTCGACGGCGACGAGATCATAAACAAGAAAAAATCCGTTCGTTTCCTACGAGACGACGAGATCGAGGGCCAAGTCGCTTCTTCAAAAGGTGGAGGAGCACTTCATGTCGATCTGAGCAAGGGTGCAGCCGAAATTGATGAGGAGGAAGATGGGAGTGATAGTGAAGTCGGGGAAGAGGAACGCGCACGAATTGACGAAGTGGTGGACGAGGAACTTGGTGCGGGTGGGAAGAAAAAACACGCACCTCTCCTAGATGCCTTCAACATGCGAACAGAACAAGAGGAGGGCCGATTTGACGACCAAGGCAACTACGTCCGCAAAGCAGTAGACCCCGATGCGGCCTACGACTCGTGGCTGGAGGGTGTTTCTAAGAAGGACATCAAGAAAGCCAAAGAAGCTGCCGAGCAACGCGATGCAGAGCGCAAAGAGAAAGACAGAATGGACGACAGCGTTTTGACAGCGGATGCCCTGAAGACGATCATCACTCACCTCGAACGCGGCGAAACGACACTCGAGGCACTGGCCCGACTGGGCAAAGGGCTTCACCGAAAGCCCAAGTGGCAAAACAAAAAGAATAAGAAGAAGAACGCCGTCGAGGATGTCGAGATGACGGATGAGAACCCCAATGAGCTGGCTCGGAAGAAAGCAATTGATTCTATCACTGGCGCCGCCGATATCTTAATGGGCCGCGGTCAAATAGATATCTATGACACAGAGCGCGAAATGCTCACACGGCAGTACCGCAACGACACGGGTGAGGACTGGATCGACCCTCCTGCGGAAGGAATGACTGAGCAAGGTCCGGCCATGTGGGAATATCGATGGTCTGATGCTCGAGATGGAGGGGATGCCCATGGGCCGTACGATAGCGCGATGATGGACTCATGGAAGAATGCGGGCTACTTTGGCGAAGGTGTTGAGTTCCGTCAAGTTGGAGATGTAGGGCAGTGGAGCGGCACTGTCAGTTTCTTGTAATATAATCCCCCCATATCAGCTACGACATTGCCTTGGATACACAAAATACCATTTATGAATGAAATATTAATATCAGATCCCCCAGAACAGAGGACTGCAATTGAATCTCAAAGGCCAAATAAACACAGCAAGCGCCAGTCCTATCATACATCGTTTGATGCGACAACGAAATAAAAATCAAGATCCAGTGTAGTTTTTTCGACCCGCTTAACTGCCCACCGAATAGCCCAGTACTAAAACACGTAACCCAATTAAGAAAGCTCCATGGCGTCGCCATTGGTAGCAGCAGTGAAGCTAACGGTACCTTGGTCACCGATGAAGCGCTGCTCATATTGATTGACGAACTTCACACTCCGAGCAGGGTCGTAGAACAACCGGAAGCTGCGTTGGACGTCATCAACACTGACCTCCTTCGCCTTGCGTTTTTGACTCAAGAGATGCGAAGTAGTAATAATGTTGCTGGCATAACGCAGATTTGACTCCTGACCAATCTTGGTGAGAAGGGCGAGAGCATCAGGCGAAAGATCAATCTCTTCTTCCTGCGCTCGGATGGCGAGGATTTGACGGATCTCGTCACCAGAGTACATATGTGTGCTGACGATAACAACCCGATCGAGGAAGTCAAGGGGTAGACCGTGAGGAGAGGTATAGGTGGTTCCGCGGATGCGTGCCTGGCCGCGATTGCTAGCCATGATGACGATAGGGGCCAACTCAGCCTCAAGGGCACGATTGATGTAGGAGTAACACTCGATATCAAGCATGTGAACCTCGTCAATGAACAGAACACCAGGAATAATCTCTGCCTTACCCTCTTCCTTCCATTCAGCCACCTTGGTATTGATCTGGTCCCGAACTTCACTCCGAATCTCGCCCGTATCGCCGGAGAAGAGAGCCAGGAAGCCTTGTGAACGCGAGTTAATGACGTCGATCTCGTGGAGGCTGACGGTGTGGACGATCTCCTTGCGAACCTGGAGTTCGCCTTCGGGGCATTGGACAAACTTGGTATCGGCGCCCATGGCGTCGTAGTCTCGAGAGCGTGCGTATGAGCGACCGAGCTTGGTGATCTTGCCTGAGGACTTGTCGATCGAGATTACATCTCCTGCCATTACTCGTTCCTTTGTCATAGAATCAATCATCTTGGTTCCCATGTCGTAAATCGTTTCCATGTCCGTAGTCTTGATCGTGAGCTTTCCTTGTTTATTGCCCTGTAGGTAGTCAGTATCCAATGTTATGAACTCGTTTGCATAGAGAATCCACTCACGCCAGTAACACTCCGGTCAATTTGAATCTCCACAACTTCACCTTCAATGATTTCGCTCTCTTCCTTAATGCGCACACCGATGGACCTCCGGAATGCCTGGGTCAGGGCTTCTGTCTTCGACATCTCCATTGAGAAGATTTCAGAAGCAGCAAGCATGGTGAAAGGTACGTCCGGCCCGAGAGATTGTGCCATGCCCATTGCAATTGCTGTCTTTCCGGTGCTAGGAGGTCCTGCGATCAGAACAGCGCGACCGGCAATCTTGCCTTCCCTCACCATCTGCAGAATCACCGCAGCAGCCTTCCGGGCCTTTTCCTGACCCACAAGGCCTTGGGATGATGCCCGAGGTTGAAGAGTGTCTGCATCGACACCAAGGCCTCTGATATGCGAATGGGCGGCGATGAGGTTCAGTCCCCGGAGCTCCTTGCTCTCTGCGACAGTCGAGATTGGCTGTTTTGGTGTCAGCAACCGTGAGGTTATTACAGAAGAATTGTAACTCACCACAGCCATATTTGAAGATTTCCAGAGTGAAATTTATTCTAAACTGGAAGATTATGTTGATAAATGCGCCAAAGCTCTAGCAAAGCAAAAGAAGAGAGGGCAGATCGCAGACCGAATTATATTGTCACCGCCCGGCAGAATAATTCCTGAAAGGAATGGTGAACCCGCTTGACCTCATTTCTGCTTTGTTTTATTGGCATGGCTTCAATTCTACAAATTTGGTGCTTATAACACGTTCTATGAGACATATCTAGTTCCCTTGACTACCTCAGGAGGAATATACTGGGCGTTTTTAACAATACCTCACATCCAAGTCTTCATACAGTGGACGCGTTAATATTGCACCTTAAGCGTTCCATTTTAGGACTGCCGTGTAGACTTCGTCTCACAAGTCGACCGCCGAAACACTATACTTTAGTTCTGCTGCGAATACGATGAGTATTTTGCAATACATTCATTGCAGGGAATATGGCCAGCAGAATGGATGTTGACTCTCCGAACCTCAATCCCCGCAAGCGACTCTCGGGCCTACTTCTGCTTGGGTCATCCCCGACCAAGGCGCAAGATCCTCGGCTTGCCGGTGCTGTTAGGCAATCAGTTGATTCCCAATCGTCAACTGCTCAACAGGCACACCTAAACCTCCCCGCAACACCCGCCCTCATCCAGAAATCCCCTGCGAAATCGCTCCCACAGGTGTCTCCACTCTCGATTCCTAACAGCGCCGCGGGACCTACGTCAATAGAAAGCCCAAGTGCGCCCATTCGTCAAGGTGCATTGTTCATCTCTGATTTGGTCAACTCATTGATCAAAGTGAACAAGTGCGAGGAAGAGAAAGAGAAACTCCAAAATGAGATAGTTTCTATCACCAAAAACCTACAGAGGGCAAAACAATCTCAACAATTTCCGAGCGTCATCGCTCTCTTCCAGCAGCAGCTGGACGCGGCCAAAAATGAATTGGACATCCACGTCAAATCGATCATGCAGCATCGATTACTCTCCAATCAGGCGCAGGATAATTTCAATTCGACGTTGTCGCAGTACAAGCCTCAATCCCAGCTTGAAAAGATACCTGAAAGGGTCGGGAATCTGGAGTCCACAATCAAGGAAATGAGGGAAGGCCTAGGCCCAACCAGCAGCGGCGATAATCCAATGAAAGGAAATGCCGAATTCGACAGAGTCCAGACGCACATGCGAAGCCAGGGCCAAGATATCGATGAACTCAAAAGAAACCTGGACAAAGTGCAGCATTCCCTAGAGAACCCGAATGGATTGGACGAGGTAATGGGATACATGAATAGGATTGCGAACTCAGTCTCCCATCAAATGAAACGCAATGGTCAATTCACGAATAAAATCTCAGAACTTGAGGATGAAGTGAAGGCTGCCGACAAGAAGTTTGATGACAAGATCTCCACCGTCGAGAAGATGGTTGACACCGTCGAGGAAGAATTGAGAAATTCCAACCAGAAGCTGGAGACCAATATCTCGGATCTTGGCGGCAAATTAAAAACTGCGAATGAACACGCTGAGGGCAAGCTTCGTGACATTGAAAGCAATCTCAGGTCGCTCAATAATAAACGACATGATCTCAACAATAGCGCGTCGACTCAAATCTCACAAATTGAAACTGACCTGGAAACCCAAAGGCAGGAGACCACGGCGCAAATAACCGCTCAAGAAGATCACCTGGCCTCACTCAGAACCCAGCAACAGAACATCGATAACGGCGGTGGGCCCTCGTCAGAAGCAACACCAACTCCCCACAGCGGGGTGCTTACAAGAATGGTGTCCCTGGAAAGAAGAGTACAGGAGTACACAACTTTTCTCAACAAGATTAAGGACCTCCATCATGAGGTGGATGTCGCCCGTCTGGATGAGTTGAGCGCTTTACGCAGAAACCAAGAGTCGAGCCAGAAATCACTGGAAACCAAACAGCATGAAATTTTGAGAAAGGTGCAGGACCTGACCGCAAACTCCAAGGAAATGAACACCAATCAAAAAATATTCGCCGTGGGCCTTCACCAACTTAGGACGAGTTTGCCTGAGAGCTTGCAGCGCCTCCAAAACGACCTCAAAAACGGACTAGATGCATTTGAAACCCGCCTTACTCCAGTCTCCGACCTTCCTCGGGCTGTAACAAAGTGCGAAAGTAAAATTGAATCTCTCTCTAGGGGCATTCGGTCATTAGAAACACGGTGGTCCAACATTACTACTGGTGACTTAGTCAATTCTATGGCACATGCCATGCAGCAAATGTACCCCTCTGTTGATAAACTCAGTCATCAATTGACGGCCTACCAGACTGAAATTGACGGCAGAATTTCTGCGCTCCAGAGAGATACAGAGACGTTCAAGGCAGATACGAATCGATTCAAGGCAGATACAGGAAATGCCCAGGCCTGCGCAGCAAGGTCTCAAGCAGCACATGTGTCATCCGAGCAGCTCCAGACCTTGACTCGGTTGCCGACTTTGCTCCAAGAGGTTAAAGGCCTTTCCGACAAGATTGCACCGATTGAGAAAGCAATCAAGGAGCACAGTGATGAGTTTCAGAGAAATCTTCATCAATGGAGTGATTTATCCAACAGGATCTCCGCCCAAGACGACACCATCGGAGGCATGGATCAAACGGCCTCTGAGCAGTCTGCACAATTTGACAACATCAATCAGTCCATAAGAAAGATCGATCCATTCATCGGTAAGATTGATGCTCATTTCTCGGCACTCGAATCCGTCCAAAAAGCGATCGCCGAGTTAAGAAAAGCCGCCGAGGAGAGAGACGCTACCACGAAAAATGGTCTTGGCAATATCTCGATGAGGCTAGAAAGCCTGGAAGGTCGGAACAAAACCGAAGATGAAGTTCTCAACGAACTTCGGAAACAGATGAAAGACTTGGAAGCCCGAAGCACAGCGGAGAAAGCGGATCTTGGGGTACTCAGGACAAAGCTCAAAGAGTTGGAAGGTCATAACGCAACCGAAGAGAACGATTTCGGCAAACTCCGGGAAAAGGTGAAAGCCCTTGAAGAGCGGGAGCCTCCGGTATCTTTGGAGAAATTCACTGAGCAGGGGGATGAGGTGAAGATGTACATCAAACGTCTGAGGAAAGCTGAAGATACTTTCAAGGCGCTTGCAGGGGGAGCAAAGATTTCCGATATTCTTGATAGACCAATGGAGGAGCGCATCGATGGACAGGAAACTCCTCAATCACAACCAAACGGCCGTGCTTTTATTCCAAGACTTACCACAACCCCCAAGACAGTCCCCATGGGCCCTGCTCTAGGTTCATATCAGCCAGTGCAGGTCAACGGGAAGGGTCCGGCCGAAAATTGCCCACCAAGCGGTTCGAAGTCAAATCACACTGCGATGCAGGCTCGACAGCGCTCACAAACGCCCAGTGGACCCAGCTCCGGTCATCCGTCGCCGTATCCTGGCAAATCCGCCGAACCCCGTCAGGTTCAACATTTGAAAGGGAAGCGACGGGTCTCCTCTGTAATAGACTCCGATGACGAAAGAAACACAACCGAATGCTCTTCGGTAATTGACTATTCGCCGGCTCCTAGCTCTTCTGGTCCGTCATATTTTGCTTCGGGCTCCAACAGAAAAGACAAGAAGAGGGCAAAGAAGAGGGCGGAGCAGGCAGAAGATCTGTTTTATTCTTCAAGCAGACCAGGCAAGAAGCGAAAGCGGAATAAGCAGGATGAATGAGCAGGTCCAAACCTGATCTCCTAGATATTATGTTCTCACAACTATCGCCGTGGGCTCGTTCTTCCCCCTCCGTCACTCTCGAATTACGACTTCCCACGTGAACCATCGATATCTATGCAATCCAGCTTTAAGAGGAAGCATTATTAGATACGTCTTCGCCACACGGTCGATAGGCTCAAAGCCGGGCGATCTTCTATTCAAATCGATATTACTCAGCACACCAATGAGTGAATTATTACTGTACAATGGAGTTCTCTAGTACATATGCGTCTAAATTCTAAGTCACGTGACCGATATCCCACCCCAATAATGCCGTCCCAATTATATCGACTTCAAAAACTTCACGACCGCTATTATCATCGTGTAAGCCATAAACTATTATTAATTATTGACAATAGGGAATTACCTTGGCGAAATTCTTCCGGTTTCTCAGAAATGAGCCAGTGACCCGCTTCGACGTCCACAATCTGCGCGTTGGGGAAAAACTTTTTGATAGCCGGCACGGTGTCGTCCGAAACATACTTAGACCTAGTGCCACGAACAAAGAGCGTCGGGCCATAATAATGGAGGTTATCGGATTCCTTGAAAGGAAAATCAGCCATATTATTTAATGCACCGCCGATGATGGATAGCGGCACTCGGGACTTCAGTGTGTTATCTTCAGAGCGTATCAAGTTGGTGAGAAGGAATTGGCGAATTGGAAGAGACTGGGTAGTGTTAGCATGCTAAAAATTACCGAAGGGTACCAGGCTCATTGCCACGCCTTCTCCTCTAGTTGAAAAGATGACCACCCCTTACCTTCTCATAATGCTCGAGAATTTTGTTAGCATCGGATTGCGTTGACACCTTCTCATCTTCGATTTTCTGCATGCCGCGGATATATTTGTGGAAATCGCTCTGCAGTGCTGCATTCACCGGTGCGTTGTCAACGGGGATTAAAGCTGACACGTATTCGGGGGCGCGCAATGCTACCGCCATTGCCACTTTGGCACCCCTTTGCCAATTGTTAGTATGTGAAGAGCACTTGAGCTACGGTTGGCATGGAGTATGATCACATACATGGAATGCCCGATCAGGACACATTTGTCCAGTTTGTGCTGTTTGATGAATTCCTGTACATCCTCCGCCATGACGCCGTAATTCTGCTCGTGGGCATGGAAAGAATGGCCATGGTTACGTAGATCCTGTACAGATTTGTTTAGGATTCTAAAATGACGTTTTGTTCATGTCTTTCCGGGGACGAGCGGAAACTCACCAGTGCGAAGATCTGGCATTTCAGATCCCGTGCCAAAATCCTAAAAGATATGTAAGAAAAGGAAGTTTGATTATATATCTGGTCCCGAAACATACTTGCTAATACTCCGGTTGTTCTGTTTTGACCCAAATAAACCGTGTAGAAACAGGATAGGGTCCCGGACAGCTTCGCCTTTTTCCGGACCAAAGACCTGATATGCCAGCTTGGTCTGCAGTATCCGGGCTGTGGAGAAAGCCCGGATACCTGGAGCACCGCGTGCAACAGTCCGGAGAGAGAACATGTTCCGATTTCAGGTTGAGAGAATGGCAAGTATCAAGCGATCAATGATTGGAAACCTTGGAAATACCGCCCGGGCCTGCGGGCCAGCTTCTTGCTGACTAATCTACTTTCATGGCCTCGGGGGCCCCAACGTTGGAAGGCCCCGGGCCCGGCCTACACTCTCCCGGGGACTCGAAGGCCGGGAAGGAGGCGAGTCCTCGATCGGGGCCTTGCGCCATCAGGGGCGCACTTTCCAAGGGACATTTAGGTACAATTGTCGGCCTCAAAGGCGCGCGGCCGGGGCGGCCCGGCGGGGGGGGGGAGGAGGGGAGGGGCCGGGGGGCGCGGGCGC